AATTTGTTAAAATGTGACTATCGAAAGGCGTGTTTCCCTTGGTTTCTCTGCAATGAGTACACGTCGTTACGTATCTTCGAAAGTCATCCTCCTGACCCTTGCGCCCTTAGTTACACGCATAATCAATTCGCTTAATATTTCGCTAGCGTAATGCAGATATTGTCGACGTAATTCTCGATGTTCGTGTTTTTGGAAGACATCGCCTTCTATGTAAGCGCTAAGTAACACTTAATCCTTTTATAATAAAAGGGTCTTGCTGACTTAATGGCACGCCGAGCTGCAGGTAGGAGTATTAACTTTTTGTTTCCTAGTTGATAAGTTGCTTCAAAACTCGGGAGTGTATGTTCCTCTCATGGAGTAATGTCTCTCCGTAAGCAAACGTTTTATCAATGTAAAGAAAGAAAAACCATGCAAGTAAGTGACCCTTACTCGTCATTGTGCTATATTCCTCTGTGGGGCTTTTTTTCAGGTCGCATAAGCGATATTATTACCAGAACACTACCACTGGAGTTACACAATGGACGTATCCGGACACTGGCATCGCCGGTGGAGCCGAAGAGATGGAAATTTGCTCCACGCCTCCTCCAACGGAGCAAGAAGAGATTGTTATCCCTGGTATGGCAAAGTTTCATCACTTGATAAATTAAATTACCAAGATACATCTGTTGAATAACGCTGTTCAATAGTAGAAGAAGAAGGACTGAGATCAAAGACAAAGAAATCGGAAGGTGGAGAGACAACTGAGGACATTCCAAGGAATAGTGACATAGAGGCTCCACCTCCACCCCAAATTTCAAATCCAAGCCCGCCTCCGCCGCCTAGAATTTACGCGGAGGACTTGAAGAGGGACAAGAGGAAACAAGACAAGTGTAACGAGAACTTAAATGAAAAGAAACAACGACTGGGAGACGGTGGATATTTTTATTAAATGAACGTTTCTCCTTTGCATGTTTTATCTTGAATTTACATATTCTTTCGCAGAGGGGACAGCCATGGTGGAAATGAAACAGCTAGAAAATTCTGTTGCGCCATCCTCTGCCTTGCTGTCGCCTCAACCTGCTAATCTCGCAAATGTAACCAGCGCGGAACCCCTGCCACCGGGTGTAGATTTGACGGAAGCACCTTACGAAATACCTGCCTTGAAGAGAATTATTTATGGTGCGGTGCAATCACAAGGTGGCACACTTTACGACGCAGCTGCAAGAGATCCAACAGTTCCTATTCTAAGTCATCCAGCTATAGTACAAGAACATTATCTTCAATATCCAGCATATCAACACTTACACGCTGTGTGTTATCAAACATACTAATATCATTCGATCAATCACTTCTGTAATTAATCCTGTTATGTTTGTTGTAGCCAGCGGCCTTAGTACTTCCACATAAGCACAATGTGCAGACTGCGATTCAGCTAATACCTGACTATACCCCGATATATACAAATCATAAAATTATCGAAAAGCCACCGGTTAAAACAGCGAAAGAGTCTTTGGTGTCCGCATTAGATTCATTTTACAGTGATATCGCGCGAATAGAAAATGTTGGAATGGAGAAAGCCCCTCAGAGACAAGACAATAGAGACACCGCAATAGTGGAACCGTCTTCCTTACCAACAGAAGAAGTTAAAATTGAAACGGAGCAAGAACCTGTTCCTGTTGAAGCTTTTGTGAAAGAAAAAAAGAGAAAAAGGGTAAGATGTTTGAATAAAAGAAGCAAGATTGATTTGATTACAGATTAAAAAGAAATTACATCTTATATATATTATGATTTCAGACGAGGATTGGTATTAGTAAAAAACATAAAGAAGTCTCTAGTATGGTTGCAAAATGGCAAAAGGTGCAACAGAATTTTGAAAATACGTAAACTTGGTTAGTTCACTTAATATTTAAGTGTTTAAATATTTTGAAAATCTTTTTTATATGTGAAATTTGAAATATTGCTTTCAGCTGCGACTCGATGATATTTAAATACACTTGATATAAATAGCGCACTGTACTCCTGTCAGTATAGTGTTTCTGTACCTGCAATTAACATTATTATTCTCCCTTTTCTATTTTTAAAATTCGTTCAACTTAATACATGAAACAGTAGATTCTGAAAAGGAATGTTGTAAATCTTGAGAAGTTATAAACATGGTTATGTACAAAATACAGGTTGATCTCTTTTAATGCTCATCAACTGTGAGTGGAATGTCGTCGCAATTTATAAGCATTTGAAATAAAAAAAAAAAGTATTGTAATTTAATGACATCCTATTTCATTGTTTCCGCTTGTATATTTGTATTATATATTGTTTAAATTTTTAGAATTAATTTACTTATCCTTCAATGAATCGCAGAAGAGAAATGTGTTTCCCCATTTTATAGAGTTTGGGAACCGAATATTTTAGTACTAGACTTTAAGAACAAGTAGCCACAATTTATCATGAAATGAGAATTAATTTTTAAAATGACAAGTAAAGGCTATTTATTTGTTTAGAGTTATAATTTCATTTTAGTAAATGTCATAATATATTTAGATATGTTAATAACGAGGGAATTTCAAAAATAAAATTACACAGGATTTAGAATCATTGAAAAATATTTATTTATAACATTGTATGCCTTATAGAATTGATTTTGTAAAAAAAAAATAGAAGATAATTGTAATTGGTATTTGATTAAATTTGCATTTTTTTTATTCTACTTTTTCGTTTAAACTTTTATTTTCTGTTTCTTAAATAAATTTGACATTGGCAAGAATTAAAGAAATTTGGCATTTTTAATTATCATTTCACAAAATTACAATTATCATTTCAAAACTTGTTAAACTTGATTATAGAGCTTGGGCATATCAAGCTTGTTTTGTTGAACTTTTAATTTTAGGAAAATATAATGAACGTTTCAAGTACTGGTAATAAAAACCAAGTTTTGACATTAAAGGAAAAACTCACGCTGAATCAGGAATTAATTAATCCTTGTTTTCAGGTATGATTTTAATTCTTTGAGGTTACATAACCTCAACTTCTCTATTTGATAAAAAAATTTTTAGTACAAAAATTTAGTTTAAAAAAATAAAAGATTTAGAAGTCAGTTTACAACAGAATTAAACAATATAAATTACAATAGTTCATCTATTATCTTCAAAGTTTATTACAAATTTGTTACTTAATTTTAAAGATAAAAAATTGTATATTTCGTTTTTTTATTTTTCAGGAATATAATATTAGTGCAAAATGTCTAGAAAACAATAAATACGATTATGATAAATGTACTCTACAGTTCGAAAACTACAAATATTGCAAAAAATTTTGGGTAATCGTTCATGTATTGTATAATGTATATTCACCGAATACAATTATTATCTTGCTAGGATATTTTTTAAATATTTCATAATTGTTTTAGGGAAAAATAATTTTCGATAGAAAGATAAAAAATATAAAACCTTATGTCCCTTTACCCGAAGAACGAGAGAAAATAAAACAAGAGTATTTTCAATCCCAACAAAAGTAACACTATTTTTATATAATTTTATAATAGATTGACAAGTATATTATTTGTTTATACTTATAAAATAATTTCCATGATAATTCTGAAAGATAGAAAAAATGTTTCTAAAATATAGTGAAGCATTTCGCTAATCGTATAAATTACAGTCAGATTAAATTGAATGCAGTTTTTCTAATCGTACAAATTACAGTCAGATTAAATTGAATGCAGAAATGTCTTTTGTGCATTTAATTCTATTATCAATACATTAAAAATATAAATAAAATATACATATAACTTCTTGGAATAATGTAAAATTTCCGTATAATATCTTTGGCAGAAATATATGATTGAGAAATTAATACACTATCATACTCGACAAGTTACAAACGTATGATTAATATTTGTAATTATATTAATAATTGTTACACAAAAAAAAATAATTAAATATCTAAAAAATAAAGTTACACAAGGATGTTTTAATTAAAGTAGGTTACGTAGCTTTCATTAAGTGCTATTTGTACATGTATGTTCAGAAATATATTTGGTAGTTAAAAAATGTAGCATTTCGGAGTTACTACACCTACATTATGTTCTTCTTTCAGAAACTACGTATGTACATATGTTGAAGTTTACAAAAACATTTGTTACTTCTATGAACATTTTCAAGTCTATCTACGATTTCGAACGAATTCTTGGATTTATCTTTTTCTTTTTCTCTCTTTTTTACAAAATTACATTTCCTAAAAATTATGTGTATTGAGAATGTAAAACAGACTAGTAACATATTAAATGCAAGTAATATATTAAAAAAAATTTAACTTTAATATATTTTCACTGAAAACATTGTAATAATGGAGTTTCAATGCACAGAATTAGCGAAAAACTATGGCAATACACGTTGTTTCAACAGGTTGATTTATTCTACATTGACTTATATTTTATTTGCACAACGTGGGAATTAATAGGATACCAGCATCTACCGTTTCTTACAACTCCGATTATTCGTTTTAATCCACGATTACGTCATCTACTATTATCATCGACGATACGTCTTTTATGCAAAGATTGTAATGACCGATCAATGTTAATTATAAAGAAGAAAAAGAAAATCAATCGTATGATTTCTGACTTCTGACTGTGATGTCATACATTTTTCCCACGTTGAGAACTTAGGTATACGATAAAATATCATTTTGAATATCTTATAAAAGAAGAATTAAATATTTATCGATTTCTCATATTTGACTAAATAATTTTCGTTCCGTGATAGAAACAGTAAAGTTTCTCTGTTACTCGCTAATTTCTTTAATTGATTGACTCGTTTAGTCTAGCTCGAAGTATATTATACACAATATTGTGTACTATTTGCAAAAATCCTTCAAGTCGAGCCGATTACTATAAATATAATATAATATACACATGCATCCTCACGGAAAATAAATAATGTCTCTTACACGTATTTTATTACAAATATATCCCCCAGCATTACGTCTTTCCTTCTTTATCCGTATCAAAATTCATTGTATTCCAGCTTGCTTAGAATTTTCACACACAGCGAGAACCTTTTTCTCCAGCAGTTACTCGAAACGAAAAAAAAGTTACCATATAGGATTTGAAAAGTTCAAGAGATTTTCGAAGAAACACCAAAGAAAAAGAGATTCGTCTGGTGAGAAAACTGAGCAAGTTAGATTGGTAATCTCATTTCTCAGACAATACATGTTAAAAACGAAGAATTCGATGCGCAACAGCTAAAATAGCCTCGCATGTGCTCGAAAATAAATATTCTACGCACAGTCAGGGTTACGAACAGAATACAAAAAAAGGCAAGGTAGAGAGAACGATGCGAACTTATGTGACATTATATATGTACGCAAAGCAAGACTGTAGGTGGTTCTTTAACTATATCACAGCAACATGAGATTGAAATGCTTTCTTCTTTGCAAAATGAATGGAGAACGTTACTTAGCAGGTACTTTCTCTTTCTGGATATGTGATGATCGCTGATTACATGCTCGAATAAAACTGTTATTATCTACTGTCCAGCATTAACGTTTTTATAGCCCAAACATTCTGTCTTTTTATGATCAATTGTGATCCTGAAATTTTTTCTGCTTGTCTGTCTGATCTATTCTCACTCGTTCGTAGCTCTTCCCGACTGTTTGTTCGTATTTCTTCGTTTTTAACATGTATCGTCGGCAAGTAGTCAGTCTGCACGATCTTTGATATGAAACGTGTGAATACGGAAATGACGACACATTTGACGTACCTAAAAGAGTGAATAATTTATTAATAATAATACCTACATCATAAAATATTATATCTAAAAAATATTAAAATAAATCTTACCACACATGTTCCATAGTGAATGTGGGCCAGTAAAGCTACGATGGCAAGAATATACGTAAATACCAGATCTATGCTAGGAAAGATAAAAGAGAAGATGGCTATAACCGCTACAGGAAGTAATATCCATGATAATAGTTCACATCTGGTGTTGCTCATTTGTGAAACAATTAAGCGACACTGTAAATTTTAAAGAATGTTAGTTTTCATCATTGAAATGATTCTGTGTTAATTATCTGATCAACTATCTTACACAGATATTCGAAAAAATAGTTCCAATTGCTAAGAAAACTATTCTAGGATCTTTCTCGATGATGTTACTAGGCGAATGAACTACCCAAATTGTTGAAATCGCGAAGAGTACCGCTAGAGGTAACAGAGGTCTTATGGCATCTAGGAATGTACGCATTTTACCAGTCTTGTCCCTATACGATCTAAAAATTGCAAAATATATTTTATTACGTGGAAATCTTATGATCGAAAAATCTGAGTTACTTTGATTCAATTGGACTGACTTGTATATGTTCCAGAGAACCACCGGTAAACTAGATACAATTGCAGTAACATAAAGCAATATTTCAAACATTACACCAACAGATATACCACCAGGAAATACAATCTTCCACGTTTTATGTCCGCCTATACTAGATACAATAAAGACAATAATAGTGCCCTAGAAATAAATTATGGAAAATAAATCATATGAATTATTTATCAGTGGACTGCGAATCTTTATGCAACTGTATATTTTTATAAAGATAATTTCAAAAATGAGTGTTATAAGGACTATTGTTCTTTGGATAATTCGTATATTTTTATGTGTATTACGTGTGCCTTCAAATTTTTTTGTAAACGCATAAAAATTACAGTCTACTCGTTAATATTAATTTAATATACATCTTAAACGAATGGAAACTTACTACCATAGATAAATCGTATCCCCAAGGAAGAAATAATACCCCTGTGTTATACTTTTCCCAGTGAGTCAAGTAGAAACTAATAAACACGTTCCACAAAATAAAGTACATTCTTAACGGAGACACGCTATGGTCCGTTCGACCAAACACAGAAAACATACAGACACTAATGAGCATTGTTGTCCAACTATCTAGTCCATGATCAAATAGTTCTCCTAAGGGCCCTGATGTTTGAGTACGTCGTGCTTGTTTTCCATCAATACCATCTACAAAATAAACATTAAATTAAGCCCAATGATTTTACAAATTCATGAGGGATATAAAGATATTTACTTACCAAGAGTATATGCCATAAATACATTAAATGCACCCAAGGCAAAGACCCATCTTGGTATAGGTGGATACTGTGGCTTATCATCGCTAGATGCATACAAATAGTAATCATAAAATGCAAACAATGTAAAGTTGAAGACAGTAAAAAGAAATCCAGAGAAAGTTAATACATTCGGAGCAACCCATTTTGGACAGTACTGAAAAAAATATCGAATTGACGAAAAAGATTATAGAGCAATAAAATAAACAAAAATTTTCACACATACCTGAACCACTTTGTTCCAAAATGGATGCATAACATATACACTAAGAGGGCTCGTATCCACTGAACTATACTGAAAATGTAGATCAATAAAATATTTATTACATTCAAAGAACTTTACTACTTCAAAGACTTTTATATCCATATCATAATTCTGAGATAATGCAACATCATTCAATGCAAATATGCATATTACATAACATACTGTATCTCATTTAAAATTACCTTATTCCTGATTCATGCATTTGTTTTCAAGGATTCATTGAAGTTACTGCAGATGTTCATATGAATAATGAATTTAGAAATTTAATGAATTAGAAATACGCAAAAACATTCGAAGCAAAATTCCCATGTGCAAAGAAATTTCAATCTGATTTTATTCTTTGTTATTTATTTTCAAATTAAGTTCACAAAACTATGAACATTCATAATTATCAATGTTCTTACTAGTTTTATTATAAAAGAAAACATCTACAGTTAAGACATTTCATCACTCAAAACAACACATTCCAAATCATAACTGACGAGACAGTATTTTTACAAATTCACAGCAAATAACAATAATTTCAATGCTTGGTTCTTGGAGAAGATCCAGATTGGAGTCTCCACTAGATCCAAGACATAACCTTTCAGAGTATCACCAAGAAACATTAGATAAACTTTTGGAAAAGAGAGAAGAGAAATGTACAGCCAACCGAGGAACTTACTTTATAGCTCTCGAAGCCGGTTAGATGTTGTTCAGTGAGATACTCGACCTCGAAGCTCAATTTTTGATACATGGTACTGCGGATGATGAGCCTAACCGCTACGTTAGTGTGACGTCTCCCCGACGTCTCAGCGTCTAACAACGCTGCGGGTCTTACGCGTACTAATTCCACTGTCTCATTCCAATTCCGATTCAATGTCTCTCTCTACCGACGACCACGATGTAAGATAATGGGTCGATTTGGTGCTGCCTCTCCGCAGTGATCATCATTCAAATACAAGTTTAATATTTTCAACTTCGACGACCATGGTCACTGCAGCTCGGGTTAAGCAGCTTGTGATAGAGTATATATCTCTAGAAGGGATGTCGCTTCAATAACCTCCTCTTCTTTTTAAGTTACTCAGCCAAGCGGCAGAAATCAACTACTATCAGCCCCTATTTGATGAATCTGAGTTTGGTAGTGACTCTGAGATGAAATTGTATTCGTTTTTCTTCAAAATTTGTTCCCTTCCCTCGCGTTCACCGGGTTTTTGAGCATTTGCGCTCTTGCAATTTCGATTGTATCCAAACGTCTGTTTTGCGTGCACGTGACACCAGAAAGAAACATGCTTCGACTCCGGCTTTTGAAACCAAACTGATCCTTGTTTCATTTTATCAGACCACATTGCAATATGAATGTGCATCTGAAATTTGTATTTTCCTAAACAGAGCATACGTGCTGGTAATGTGCAGCTCAGTTAAGCATCAGTTTATTTATAGTAACATTGCCCTTATGTGAATAATGACACCTCTTAGATTACTAAATCGAATGGAGAGATCTCTTCTCGCTTTGAAGTAAATCGCAGTATGATCGATTAGGGAGATTTCCCTCGCTTTTTCTTTTTTTTTGTTATTTAATCAGCTCTAAATTAGAATTCTGTACAATCCATCAAATACTTTTTCTTGCTTAAAATGCAATTTTTAACAAAATCGTTAAACTTAATATTTTATAAGAGTTAAAAAAAAATATTAGAGATCGTGACATACTTGTTAGTGAATTAAACGATAATGATAGTATATTATTATAGATATTATTCCCACAAATAAATGTAATTTGAAAATTCAGAGGATGATTCCGACGATGATACGATTAGGAGTTATGTACTTCCCGGTTAGCAGAAATTAACTCAAGGCTGGTACTCATGTGCACGAAATAAAGAAAGGAAGTCGCACACAAAGTCGAAATTGAAAGAAGATCATAATGCATGAATTCCCACTTATGAAACTGCGTATTGATTGCTACTTATAAATAAATTGATTTGAACGTAGGCTTGTCCTTGAAGGATAATATCTAGTTAGATAATGGCTGAAGATAATAGATATGCAAAGGTCAGAGTTGAACGTGTCAATTGAATTATTTCAGTGTACGTCGCGCAAACGTTTATTGCACGGAATAAAATGCAACGTTGTACTTGTTGAAATTATATATGCGGTAACATTTTTTGATACGCGATATTTAAAACAGGTTACATAAATGAAATAAGCACGTTTTTCATTAGATTTTTTTTACGTAATGGAGCAATTATCCTTCATTTTTAATTGAATACGGTTTAATTACACCAATTCATGTGATTCTTTTAGAAAATATCTCTTAAGGTAGCAATAATTGAATCGATTGAATATGCATTGGTCATTTTTATGATAAACAAATGAATTCTCTTCGCACTGCAAATTGTTAGCACTGTAACTTTATTAAACAATATTCATGGAGCTAGATTTTATCATTACAAGTCTTTGTTACATTTTTCTTTTTTTTTTTTACTAATGTACTAATGTTAATACCTGAAAAATAATAATCAAGAAGAATTCAAATTTAAATTAAAATATTTAACAGAGGCTGTAGACTGAAAACTTACTCATGTTACTTAAGTTTCAAATGATAATGAAGTACAAAAAACGGTACTGAAAGTCCACTTGCAGTGAAGACAGTAAAAAGTGCAATCAGCTTGTATCTATTGTTGATGTCAAAAGGAACATTCTGCAAAAAAGGAAAATATGGCAACTTAAATTACTCCCAAAAAATGAAGAAGGAAGAAATATTCAATGTTTCAAGTGAATTCGATCAATCTATTTCGAAGATTGTCGAACTTCATTATGTAATGAACTATAGTTTATTATTTTTGACTTACTGCACCAGGGAAACCTTCTGGGCCGTGCTCGTCGCTTCTCCTTGCAGAAGTAGTTTTAAAAGATCTGGTAAACCGCCGTAAGACAGATCTGAGAGCCAACATATTTACAATCGCGTATTGCGTGTTCGTCTCCACGAAATTAACAATATGGCAATAAGTCGGCTGGTCCGTATGAGTTTAAAGCGCGTTCACATGTATCATTCTAGTTACTTCTCGTTATTATTATACTATTTTATTACAACCTTAAATCTGAGAGTTGATCGATGTTCATTTAACAATTTCAGAAATATTTGTTTCATAAATTTGAAGCTTAATCAATAATTGAATTTAATATAGATCGCTTGTTTGCAGCAACTTTTTAATCTTAAATGAGATCTTAATCGTTTATCAACTGTAAAGTAATTTATTTTATCGAATGCATGACAAGCAATAAAAACAAAGTATAATTATACATTAGCTCGATGTGTCACAAATTGTAAACTTGGCCTAATATTTTTGCCGCGAATTTTAAATGTTACGAAATTCTGTTAATATGTCTATTTGTTTCACGCTGAAGCAGAATTTTCGGGTTCTCTTGTATTTTAAGCTAATATTACTATTCGTAAATTTTATAATTTTACAAATTGTGAGTTATTATTAACATTAATAAATCTTTTTTTACATGGCAAAAGAAGAAGTTTTGAAAAGAAAATTTTATGAATTCGAAAAAAAAAGTTATAAAAAATATAAAATACAAGTAAGACATTGCAACTTGTAATTCAATTTATTAATACTAATAAATTTTTGTGTAATTGTAATAAATTTCTCATCAATTGATCAGATCCCTCTAACCTGTAATCAATTATACATCAAGGCAGTGTTGCGTTATTCTTGCATCTACTAATGATACAAATAGATGCTTTGAATCAATTGTCATTACATAATTGAGCAATAAAATATAAAAAATATTTTAAACATCTATATTTATTTAATATTATAATGTAATTTAATTAGACATTATGTTATTATATATAACAATAACATGTTATTATTGATTGAATCTTTTCTAATGTATCTTGGTTATACTTAAAAGAATGTTTTACATTGGGCATGTCTATTGTGATTTTATGTATCATTGACTACAATTTATAGCCAAGTGGAGTATGTAACATTTTTTAATAATTTTATACATATGTATATATGAGAACACTCTAACCTGAAACTTATTTGTAACATAGAGAATCTACATGAATTTCTGTTATTGTATAACTGTTAATAATTTTTTCATACATTTTTAGTCTCAATAAAGAAATTATCATGACTGATAATTTGGATCATCTGAGTAAATACTTTAAACAAACTCTAAAACCTATTGTAAGAACAAATGTAAGTTTGTTTAATACATCAAATTTAAGTATTTGAAATTTCTGATCTTACTCTGAATAAAAATTTGTAGGTATTGGAGTGTCGTGTTTGCGAAGAAGTATTTACCATTGATGGAGTAAAAGTACCAAGATTATTGCACTGTGGTCACACAGTGTGTCATTCATGCCTCTTACGACTGAGACCTTCTATGACTGATCAGCAGTTTTTATTGTGTCCCTTCGATAGACAGCCAACAGGCATTAGTCAAAACAATATCTGCAATTTAAAAAAAAATTTTGCCCTGATTGAATTATTAGAGAGACTGGAACAGTCCAATAGTGAGAAATTATCAATACTCGAAAGGGAGAGACTCCAATCTAATCAAACTTGTGATGAAGATGAAGCTCATACGGCAGTATTATATTGCACTATTTGTATGACTCACTTGTGTGAGAATTGTGACAGTACCATTCATTCTTCGAAGACTTTAAGCAAACATAAGCGTGTACCTTTGTCGGAGAAGCCAAAAGAAAAACCAAAGTGTCCGGTGCATACAACGCATGTGGCAGAATTTACTTGCACTCAAGAAGGCTGCCACAATTCCCTTATGTGTTATTTGTGCAAGGATTACGGTAGACATAGCACACATAAGGTAACAAAAATTACTTATAATTGGTGATCAATATTCTACTGCTTATTTTAATTATAGCTAGCTTTGGTGGAAGTTGAGGCAGAGAATATTAGAAAATCTATTGTCACTGCTCTGCAGAAAATGACGCAATTTATGGAAAGTATGAGAGATACAGCACACAGAATAGGCATGTTTGCTTTCTTTATTCTAACGCTTTCGTATCTTTCAGTTTCTTATTGAACATTATTGAAAATTATAATAGTTGTCAATGCAAAAATTCGACCAGTAAATCTATGTGTATAAATACTTGTTATTGTTGTTAGAAACGGTGATACAAGAGTTAGAGGGATGGGCAATAGAAGATGCAAGGCAACGAGTGCGTCAGCATTTCGAGGAATTAAGAACCTTGTTGGCTGAGCAAGAAAATGCAGCTATCTCCTGCATCGAAACAGAAACGCGTGGGAGATTGTGCGCTTTAAGACAGCAACAACAGGATTTGACTACCACTAGGTCTCAAGTGGCGGATGTGTGCATTCAATGCGAAAGTATCTTGGATTCCGAAGATTGGAAGTTACTAAACAGCGCAACGAAAGTTAAAGAAGTGTTAACTACATTAGAACAGCAGCAACAACATTATGCTCAACTTGGTCCAGATTTTCTCACGCCTGAATCCTCTATACCTATAATATTCAGCCGTGTAAGTGTGTTTATTGATGTACGGGATGTGAATAATTACGTTCTACAAAAAATAATTTACAATATTAAAATTATAGGACAATAGGGTACATATTGGTACGAAGATCGACATGCGCGTAGTAATCTTGGGATTGGACGGTGCTGGGAAAACAAGCATTCTATCAGCCATGAGAGGCATTACACTTTCTGGACCGCCGATCCCTACGATTGGCTTCAACGTAGAAAGTCTGGAGTACAAAAATTTGGTATTCACTTTGTGGGATGTTGGTGGTCAACAGAAGTTTAGACCACTATGGAAACATTACTATCACAACACGCAGGCAGTGATTTTTGTAGTTGATGCCAGTGACAGATCTAGATTTGAAGAAGCTCAAAATGAATTATCAAAAATTGTAAATGAACGTGAATTAAAAGACGCCTTATTCCTTATATATGCTAATAAGCAGGTAATTATTTTACAAAATACTATGTTTACAATGTATTCACAAACTTCTAATTCATTTTATTAACAAGATTTTCGGTCTAATTATCTTTTCTCTCCATTTTGTAGGACATCACTGGTTGCGCCAGTGTCGAAGAATTAACCGATATCTTATGTTTGCAAAAATTATGTTGCGGTCGGGCGTGGCACATACAAGGCTCGTCTTTAGTTACAAATGCTTGTGGTTCTACGCAAGGTCTCGACTGGTTAACTCAACAATTAGGCGCTCACGAAACCTTATATACAATACCTACCGTATCGTAAAATCCGTAAATCGCAATCCTGCTTTTATAGAACGAATGAGATTACAATGAAGATTCAAATTTTTCTTTGTATTTTACGTACTTATATAGCCTGTAATTTTCTTTGCAAGTTATATATTGTACATTCCGCGAATAACTTCCTTAATTAATTCAATAATTGTGATAATGTTCGAGGTTGTCTAGCGTTTGATGCGTTTGATATAATGTAACTATCATATAATAATATAGCCGTGTTAATCGAAAGGCGTTAATAAACGGCTGGAGCACGTCTAGAAAAGTCTTATTTATTTTATTACATCGGTTACTTGATTTTTGTATTTAATACATAATCATACCAATCATATTTATATTTATATTTCATTCAGTCATGTTTGCACACATCCATCATTCTTACACATTGTAACTGGAGCGAACTTCTTAATACGCGCGTACACTGTACGGAAATTGAAATAATATATAATATATATATATATATATA